CGATGTCTCTTTGACTTGGTTCCAAATTTCGCATAATAAAAAAAAATAATAATAATACAATATATATATATATATATATATATATATATATATATGAATTTGAACAAGCCTGTTTTATTTTCCTCTTGCTACTGAAACGGGATTGAAGGGAAGCACACATCTCCCACCACGTGCAGGCATAGCCCCACGCAGTGGCTGGTAATCAAGAAGACAGTGATGTGGCCGCGCGCCTCACCTCTGCCACGTGTTATATCGGCAGACTGACACGAGCGCAGCGTCTCATTCTACTCCGTCTGACCCCGAGTCAGCTACGCCAAGGTGGGTGTCACCTCATTCAGAATCGAGGCGTCGCTTTCTCCCCTCTGTTCGACGGTGTACGCAGGTGATGAATCAAGAGAGGCAGCAAAAAAAAAAAAAGTGCGGGAAAAAGAGCACGAGCCACGCAGAGTGAATAGAAAAGGAGGAGTGTGTGTCACACACACAGGAATGATGAGTGTAAGAGGTGAAGGAATGCTCCTTCTGTTTCATCTTGGAGTATATTCTCCACACCCTGAGTTTAACCTCAGGTGGCTGGAAAGAGACGGAGCCATATTTCTGCACAGACCTGAAGAGGGCAGATGTGAGGCTCTGTGATCCCCGATCTAAGGTCAGATGTGTCTCAGAATGAATCAAGGTCAGAGGTCAGACAGTGAAAAGATGGTGTTCAATCTGCAGTTTCATACCCAGCAGTTGCCATAAAACCTCGAACAGCTTGTTGAGTCGCCTGTGGTTGAAAGCAGGCGAAAAGGACTTCAAGAGGAGTACCAGTTTTAGGGATTCTTTAACAAACAACCAGTTGTTAGTTAGTTATTAGTTAGTAATAATAATAGAAACAAAATTCAACTCTTATGACATTAAAAAAAACTGAGTTCAGTATCAGTCACTTGGATTTTATTGTGGGGGTGGGGGAAAAAAGGAATAAAGTATGATGCCATTTTAGATAGAAAATAATAAATTTCTACCAAAAAACTCAGAAATTTGGTGATTAATCTCAGAAAATTTCTAGAAAAAACAAGGAATTTTCCAACTTCAAAAATTAAGCTTGTTCGACTTTTGAAGAAGACTTTTCACTTTGGACATCTGAAAATCAGAAATTTCCTGGTTATTTTTTCTAGAAAATTTTAGTTATTTTAGGCAAAAAACTTCCTCCATCTTTCTACAATGTCCCTAATACACTGTCATAAGAAAGTGTGATCCCTTAACAGGCAGTAAACATGGTAAAAGTCCCAGTATTGCTCATTTATTTTCTTTTCCCTTGTAGATAGTGTATAAACCACCACATTATTGCCCCCCTTAGAGACGAAAGTGAAGACTGTACATCCTTGAGAGGAATGCTACTGTTTGAATGATTCGGTGCGTTTGTACCAGCATGGCCCAATCAGCTCACGCTCATGCTTTTCCATGCGATTTCCATGTAGGTTTCCCTTTTATTTCATCATTAAAGAAGCTTTGTTCCGCCATACTCTCTGCAATTGGTTCCTCTACAAAACCGCAACGTGATAAAAGACTTGAAGAAATCCCATTAAAAGTTTACCACGAGCCATTTAGGGGACACAATAAATATGGGCGAAACGGTAGTCGCCGCAGTGACATGTGGTGGTGGTAGCATTGTGCTGTGGGGATTCTTATCTTCAGCAGGGACAGGGAAGCTGATCTGAGTTAAAAAAAAAAGAAGAAGAAAGATTGAGCTAAATGCAGGGTAGGTGTGAAAAAGTGTGAATGGCTGTGAAGGTCTCTGGATGTGTTGAGTTGGTAGGAATAAATAACTCTCCAATATAATACCCAAAAGTTTGGTTGTAACACCAGAACATTAGAAAGTTAAAAGGATATGAACACTATTTGCAGAAAACACTATGAGTGGATCAAATTCTGCTTGGTATAAAGTTAGCTGGAATATGAAAGGAGACACTTGTACTCAGACACTTGTGTATGTGTGTGTTTCTGTGCTTTCGCGTTTTACATATTAGGGTTATATAAAGTTATGGGCTTGTCTTTCTACCTGTTTACCAAAAATGTTTGGCCAAGTATATAAAGGACAATCAGGGACAGATGAAGGCGGGTCTCTCCTTGTCTCCGATTGGCTCAAATGTTAAATGTTTTTTATGTTAGCTAGTGCCGTAGAGTCTAGACCACGGTTTTAATCTATGATTACAATAATTAGAAAGAGACAACGCAAAAGGCAGGCTCCTCTAATCAGTGGTTCTGAATGCCTCGCTGAATGAATGTTGCTCCATTAAAGATTTACCAACATAAGAGTCTGACGTAAAATAACAAGTGTAAAGAAACTTTATACAGCTTCTGAAGTGCAAGAAAAAGTTGTTGAGTTCATTATTTTAGTTGTTGGATATTTGTTTTTTTTATGTTTGAATGAGGAATAAGGAGGGTGAAAAATATGAAGACCTGTGAAGCATTTATAACACAACTAAAAAATTCTTTTTATTTGTTTATTGCGTATGCTATTGCTCTATCTCACCTTCTATCAAAATAAGCTTAAAAATTAGATTGACATTTTTAACTGTGACACCTAGTGGCCATAAGAGGCTATGACAGGTACATATTTGTCTCCCAAGTGTTGGGTAACAACAATGCTTGTATTTTTTTATGACATTACTGGAGATGAAATAAAATTGTTACTCTGTAAAAAATTTAACAGAATATATATAAATATTTCTGTTTATAAGTTGAATAAAAACTAAAGTACATTCATTTTCTTTGTTGTAGATGGGTATTACAGTTAATGACAATAGGGACTCAAAACCAACAACAAATAAATCACTTCTGGAGAAGGTAGTAAAAAAAAAAAAAGATGAGCTGCTTAATTCAGGTTCTTGCATTCTCCTTCTGTGTTGCCATCTTTTGTTTCCTATCCCTTTATAGACACCAATTAAGAAAACAAATTGGGAGTCTGTCAGCTGCGATCGCGAGCGGTTGGGCAGGAAAGAAGGACAGCGTGGTGGGGGGATGGAGGGAGGGGGGAAACAAACCAATTACAGGCATTGATTTACTTCCAGGCTGCCTTATGGGTGGCTTAGCTTGCCGGTCAGGTCCCAGGTAATTCAACGGATTGCATCCATCGCCATGTACTCCAGTTATCTCTGCAATCCCATCTCAGCCTCCTCGAAAGCACGCACTGAGACAGGAATATTAATAAGGAACCCCGTGGCTCACAGTCCGGGCCGGTGGGTTCCTACGTGATTCAGAGTGACGCCTCTTCCCATTTATTTATTTTGTCAAAGCGTTAGGTCTACCGTTTTACGTTTCATATTCTCCACTTAGGAGTATGTGTTGGACTGAATACGAAGGTACACCGTGGCTTGTTTCTACGAGCTCTTTCGCGCATTTTTTTTATGACAGGTTTTATTTTTTTCTTCCACTGTGAAGACATGAGAAAACCTCCACCGAGTGCTCCTGTTGGGCACCGTTCTTCTTTCGTTGCGAGAATTGAAGGACAACATCTGAAGGACGGCTGACGAAAGAAAGGGCTTCGGCATTCATAGCGACCCCCGAGCTCAGACGCATTCAAACACAACGTCCTCAATGTGAACCAGGATCTTTCCTAATAGGGTTCCTTCCTTTCTCAGGCGTGTTCTCACACCTTCACACTTTCTGTTTTTCAGCCTGTTCCTCCCCCGCCCCTGTGACCCCCACGCATTCTTCTGACTCCTCAGCCTCAGCTGTTGCTGCCAGTGAGATCAAGCCAGCGTGAGATGTATGAATGTGGAGAAAAATGGATGGCTAATTCAATCAAGTCTATTATTCCTCAGGCAGTGTTGTGTTATCAGTGGCAACCGCAAAAGGCCATTTGATGCATTGCCTCCATGCCCAGCCTCGCCGCCGCCTCCTTCCTGCACAACTCCCAAGCTTCTCCGGTCCAACCAGGGTAAAGGAAAGGATTGGCGGAATGGGCCGAGGGGTACGAGGGGACCTCTCAAATGTGTCAGTTTGCACAGCGGGCGCATTTTACGCAGCCGTCAGCCGTTTTACCTTCACCGCAGGAAGGCTGTTGTCACTGCAGTGAGAAGTTGGGTGTCATATGTAATAATTACATTGGCTGGATTGGACAGATCAATTTGCTAAGTAACATCATACTAATTGAATTTAGTTTAATCCAATTTAATTTCTGTTCTGTTGATATATGTGGTGCCAATTAATAATAATAAGAGCACTCACAGCACATGCGAGAGAAGAAGTAAATCAAAACTAATCGCATTTGAAAAGTACGGTGTGCATTTGCTTCCAGCCTACCTGAGTCAGTGTAGAAACACTCTAAATTACAGGGAGAACTACAAGACATTTTTTGATTATCCGTGTTGCACATTCACAGGTTGAAATTCTTTGCTAATTTTGCTCGCGAAATCGGTAGTAGTAAGTTTGGACTGAGCGTCCAGCTTGAAGATGAATCTCCTGGTTCTGCTCATCGATAGAATTTGCATTTCCATTGACCATAAAATTGTGCAAATTCAAAATATGGAAATAAAAGGAAGAAGACACACCACTTTTGGAAAAAGACAAAACAAAACACTGTTTTCAATTAAATGTTTTTGTGCTAGGATGGGGTGGTTTTTTCAGCCCCATCAAAATTTGTATGTTTCACAAAACTGCCATGGAGACACTTTTTTCACATCTCATGAGTTGTGTGATCAACAACCGGATGTTACTACTGGTGGAAAAGAAAACAAAGACAACAGGAAGTGGCAGGAGCATCTTTTTGACTAACAGACTTATTCATGTTTGATTTTAATTGCTTTTCTTATTTACGGAAAACACCTCAATTGGGAAATTGTTTTTTTTGTACGATAGCGGAATATAGACAAAGTTTCGCGTACATTTGTAATGGAAACGCAGTTACTAACTCTAACCAGCTTCTTTTGACTTTGATTTCTTAAGGGTTTCTTCTTGCCACACCACCACAAGGACCACATTTATGGACTTGACAGCTAATAGTTACGTCCTCAGCTTGTTCAAAATCCTGCTGGCTGTCTCTTAAGAGGTACACACAGACATGAGCACGTCTCGCTTGTTCTATCCTTCCTTTATTTGGTTTCTTTGCATTACAGATTTAATTTCAAAATCCTAATGTTGGCTTGCAAACGCTTGAATGCGCTTGCTCCTCTGTACCTTTCTGATTTCCTCCAGCCTTTTCGAAGATGAGTAACCGGAAACTCAAAGAAGATTGAGCTTTTTCTGTTGTGGAACCCAAACATTGGTCCAATGTTGTGGAACATTGGGTTCCACAACAGACGGGCATCTTCGTTTTATGTTTCGGAGTCTCTTTTAACAGCATATAATTTTTTAATAGCGTTTGGCCCACAGTGGATTGACATGCTCTTTTTATTGACTCTGTTCTATTTTATGTGAGTGCTTTAATATTTGTTTTATGTCTTCATTTTTATTTCCATTCTTTGTCTTGTTTTTGTACAACACCTTGGGCAAACTTTCAGTTTTTGAATGTGCTTTGTAGATAAATTGGATCCATATTTTGGATTTTAGTAGTTGTTCTCTCCATGACAAATTCTCCCTGTCATAATCAACTCTATTTAGATCATATAGTATAATCTTTTTTTTGTCACCAATGGTATTCAAAACACTGTTTATTCATTTGTGTTGTGATTATAAACATTTCTTGTAAAATATATGAGTTTTTCTTGTTTTCTGATCTTTGTGTACTGGTATTAGTCTGTTTAACTCCCTACCTTTCCAATAATAACAGCCAAGGTTTCATTTGAGTAGGCCACTGAAACATGTAATACCCAACTATCAGTGAAATGGTTGTGAGATATGTTGTGTTGTGAAATGGTCAGTGGTTGTTGCTCCAAGGCAGCGCATACAGATTTTTTATTTTTATTTTTTTCCGGTTCCGGTCAGTTCAGAAAGGTCAGCGCTACTTCTGATAATAGTACTTACGACTAAAATGGGGTACTGTACAGCCTGTTCTTTCTCACAGTGATTCAGAACAAACTGTTTTAAATTAGTTTAAAAACAACAAGGCACTCCCTGTGTGCATTCACCTTAACGCTCTGTTTTAACATTACTTGTTTCATGATGATCGCCAGGGCAGAGGAAGGTCTAATTCCAGGGTGGCTGAATCAGGCGATGGCAAGTTATGGAAAGTTTTGATCCGGTTTGCTTTTATCAGGTTTTCAAATATCTGGACATGCGAGTGAACTTTGGTAACTAAATTGATGCTTGGGCTTAACAGTCACTACTTAATTACTTTTATATTACTACTTTTAGAAACTGTAACTACTCACTTTACACCAGAAAAAGTATTTAGAGTAGTCATTTTGCTTTTTTTTTTTACTTCCTTTTCTTTCCTTTGGTTTGTTATTTTGGTTGTATTTCCTTTTAATTCACGTAAAGCACTTTGAATTGCCTTGTTGCTGAAAATGTGCTATATAAATAAAATTACCTTACCTTAGTGAAGTATTCTACATTAGCTTAAAGGGCTAGATTACTAAAACTAAACAATTTTGCACCATTGTTGAGTCTCACTGGTCCTCATTCTTAGTGAGAGAGTTAGCATCACGGCAAGGGAAGTCTTTACCTCAAAAGAACAGCACAGGAAGAAAAGGGGAAACAGAAAATATCAATTATAGCAAGATTAAGTTTTTATGCGTAGGCTGTTATTATAAAGTGGTTGAAATCACTATGCATTTAATTATTTTGGATACTGAACGTTGTGAGAGATTTTTTTTTATTGTAGTGAGTACACTTCAGAACTCTTGAACTTTCTCAAGCTATTGGGAATATCTTCTCAGTGCAATTTTAGATACAGTAAATATTCATGAAACACATTTGTCAAATCTCTGGAGGCCAAATGATTTAATAGGCATTCCCATCTTGCTAAAAAATAAATAAATTAAAATGAATGCACCATTTTGGAGCACATTTCCTATTGCCAGACATATCCTCAATTTTTGGGGATCTTTATGAAAGTGGGTTTTGTACTTTTCTTATCCATAAATAAAGTGTGCTGCTTCTGCCCAAGGCGCTGCACTCACCGACTTGTTAATTACTTTCCGGACAGAGAAAAGTGTTTATTTCGTCCCCGTTGTGAAGTTTATGTTTTATTCAACCAGGAAGGTTATATCAAGACACAGCATCTTGGAGAAGAAGAGATATATAGATTTTCTTTTTGTTGAACGAAAAGGGTGGCAGGCAATTCTCCACAGATATAATTCCTTGCAATTATGTAACCTCAGTAGTTATGCAATTAGCTAACATAATATCTCTGTGTAAGATTTCATCAAAGTACAAATACAGGTGTTCAGGGAAGGTTTCTTAGAGAACATTTAAGAAGAAACGGAAGACTGAGGAGTACAGCCAACAGGTCGAGGATAAAGTTGTGGAGTATTAAGCAGGTTTAGACCTCAACAACTGCAAACCTACCAAGACACGCCAATCCACTGATCAGACAAACAGGCCAGAGGTTTACAGTGAATTTACAGGAGCTGTAAAGACTTAAGTGGAAGAATCTGTCAACAGGACACCTGTTTAGTCCACCCCACAAATGTGGCCTTTATAGAAAAGTGTCGAGAAGAAAACAGTTATCGTAAGGAACGCCCCAAGAAGTAAAGTTTCCCTCAACTGATGAAGAGAACAAGTCAGACGAGACTTATCACCCTAACACATGTTCATGTGTTAGAATGGTCCAGTCAAAGTCCAGACTACATCTAACTGAGAGTGACAAAAAAATAGCTTCTATTACGCATCGACTTTTTTTTAAATGGATGTAGAACTTAAATTCTCAATTGAACATATTTAAGCTAACAGGACATATGAAAAAGTTCTATGATAAGAAATAATTTTCCAGGGCACCTTCATTTCTTTCCAAAGCCTCAAATTCTAAAAATGCAAGTCATTTATTGCTTTTTTTTTTTAAATTCTTTGTAAAAGTAAAATTGCTGAAGTGAGAAAGAAAAAGGCCAGATGAAACTTTAGCACAATGGATAATGGCGTGCAAATGTCAGAAGTAGCAGCGGAGGGCGGGGATGGAAGAGATAGGGTTGAACAGTGTGTGTAGAGACATGATAAGGGGGAAGTAAATAGGTTTGGACAGGATGAGAATTGAGAATTCAGATACATACACCGGTAGACTGCCAGAGGTAAAAAAAAAATAAATAAAATACAGACATTGAGTAAAATATAGATTGATGGACTGAAAGAAAAACAACCAAAAAATCCCCCAGAACAACGAGGCTGATGGGATACGCTTTAAGGCGGAAACATGCCAGTTCATAAACGACATAAAAAAAGCGAATGATGAAAGAGTGAGAGGCAGAGAAAGACAAGTAAAGCTGAGAAAGAGTAAACATGAAATAGATTCTCTGGATTGCAGACGGGCTGTGTGAGAAATCATTTAGCCTCGCGTCTGAACTGTGTTTCATTTAGGCCATTAATCACAGCTATAATGGAGAGCTGAGCCCCGTGCTCCTACACACTCCCCCTCTCTTGACATCACACGCACACACACACACACACACACACACACACACACACACACACACACACACACACACACACAGAGTTCCATGCTGTACACCGAGTACTAAGCAGCAGCCCTAATGGCCCACATGGGAAGGAACGAAAACACGACGAAAGCAAAAGTAAATTTCACTAAACTCGCAGCCAAATTGAAGTGTTACGCCGTAACCCTCCCATGTGATAACAACGTGCTGATGAAAATTTGGCTCTTTTCCAGAAAACAACAACTTTGCTTTAATTTATCCAGAGGATGCATATTGAATAGAGCTGATTTTATAAGTGGGACTGAAGTCAAAGTTTCGTATAATGAAAATACCAAAAAGAGTTAAGAAAGAAAGAATTGTCATGAAAATTAACAGTTATACTGAGACACTTAATTGTGCCGGAGTCCTGTTCGTTTTGATGCTCATCTCTGGTTTCTTAGTGCTCATTTGTGTTTAGTCAACTGTTCACCCAAGCGATACGCTAAAATCTGTTGGTAATTGTTTATCTGTTTCGTATTCCAATAATCACCTCCCTTGCATTTAAGCCTCCAATTTTCAATCCCTCTTTGTCAGATATCTCTGTTATCTAACTGTCTAGTTTTGTATCTGTACTCCTCTGATGTTCATTGTTGGTTTGAAACCCAAACCAACAATGGGCTTCAAACCAACAATGGTTGGTTCCACCAGTGGAACTTCACTTCCACCAGTGCCAGAAGGTGATTGGTTCCACCTACTGGTTGGTTACCAGTGCCTACTCAATATTGTCTTTCTTGGTTTTCCTATAGTAACAGTTACGTAGTACCCGCCCTTTCTGTTACGGTACTAAGCGTGTGGAGTCAAGCTGAAAATGTGACGTTCAACATAGCTTTCATGTTGTCCATTGTTGCGTTGTGATGGCGTCCTGTACTAATCGCATTGTGCCACTTTTCGAACTCTGGAACCGGTCCAACAAGTTGAGATAAAGTGATAGTTGCTGGTGGAAAAGAGCCTTAATTTCGTTGTTACTGTCAGCAGATTGCCGTACTGATGAAACTACCTTCCTCTTGCATTTGCTTGGGCCCATCTTCACTCTAAGCTTGTCAAACACTACAAATCTATCTATGCACTGTCTGAATCCACTTGTCCTTGAAGGGGCATTGGTGCCTTCCTCTCCAACAATCATTAGGCAGTAGGCAGGGACAGGTTGCCAGTCCATCAGACATGCTCACATCTAAGAACAATTTATTACAAAGCTAGAAAAACTAACTGTAAATTAATCGCACATTTTTCCTCAGCAATTAATGAAGTACAGTTACTTTTATCTTATAATTAAATGATGCAACTTAATTACGTGTAGCTTGCTACCCAGCAACATTGCCCATAGCAATATAAATATAGTTCAGAGACAACCTGCCTCACTATAGCTGCGGTTTATGCATGGTCTTAAAAGTAACTGCGCTCTCTGGCTTATGGGTAAAAACTGGTTCTGCTGGAGTGGATCCTGATAACGAAATAATCTGCCTCC